TTCGCCGGCAAGATAGAAGAGCCAGGTGACATCTGTTGCCGAGTATTATGCTGTTCACGTGCATACTGGGGTTTCTAATCTCAGGAGAGGGCCCTCACTCCGCCCCCTTCCCCATTGGGACCGTCTCACCCGATGGCTTCCCCTGGTAGCACCTGTCCTTATAGAAGCTTCACTCTCCTGCTGTTGCCCTGGCCCCACCTGACACCCTTCGGAGGGGCCGTCGCTGCACCCTCCGTGTCTCCCGGCTGGACGCTGCGCTGCACCGTGGCGTTTTTTTATACTCAACTTTAGTATTTTTACTATTATGAGACTTTCCCTCCAAATTCTTCAATAAAAATTGCTTTTCAACTCTGTGGCTTGTTTTGCTGGGTGGCAGGTGAAGGAGCATGTGGCCGGTCCGCTTGAGGGGAGCGCCCTGTCCTTCCTGCCCAGAGGCCCCAGGGATGACCTTTGAGGGACGATGTCCCCCCACCCCACTCCGGCGGGACTCACCGGAGCGGGGGATGCCCTGGCCGTCCCTGTCTCCACCTGGCTTCACCCCAGCCCCATGCCCCAAGGAAGCCACCCAGACTGCACAGCCGTCTGCCTACCAGCTCTGTCCATGCAATGCCGCAGACCCCGACCACCAGGAAGGACCAGCCATCCTGCAGGGCCCCGAGCTGGCCAAGGCCGAGACTCGGGTCACTGCCAGGCCCTAGGGCCCGAGGAGGACCGAGAGAGCGGCCTGCCGGCGGTCACACCGCAAGCCTGGGTCAGGCGGGACAGGCGGGAGTGGGTCCGGGGCGCCCGAGCAGCCCAGCGGGACGTGCCGCGGGCGCCACCTGGTGGGTGCGGAGAGGAGCCGGCTGCCGGCGCTGGCCCGCGCGTCGGCCTCCAGGCGCCTGCCCAGAGAGGGGTGGGCGGAGCCTCAGCTCCTCCTCTCTCACGGGGACTCAACCCCGCAGGCGTGGCCGGGACAGGGCCGGACCTTTCACTGGGCCTGGCGCCTGGGCCCGGGGGAGGGGGCAGAGCAGCCTGCTTCTCCAGGCTCCGGGGCCCGTGACCCTGACAAGACATTCCTTGGGGCGGGGTGGCTGCCCCTTCTGCTGGAAGGGGCGCCTGCGCGGGGCATGAGGTGGGTGGGGTCAGTCAGGCCTGCGGGTGCCTCTCTGGGCGGTGCCCGATTGCTCAGTGTTGATAGGCTCTGAACTATTTCACTCCCACAGCTTTTTTGGAAACCACAAACACACCAAATGTTACCTGCTAAATGATGCTTTGGATCCAGATTTCAGATACGTAAAAACGTCCTTCAAATTGGAAGCCTGTGCACTGTGGGTAGGAATGTAAAATGGCTCAGCCTCCGGAAAACAGTATGGAAGTTCCTCAAAAAAATAAAAACAACTACCATGTGACCCAGCAATTCCACTCCTGGGTACACATATACCCCAAAGAGCTGAAGGCAGGGTCTTGAAGAGGTGTGTATTTTAACACATAAAAAAAGGAAAAAAAATGTATATTGTAGACACCAGAACCTACAGCAGTACCTTTCCATTATCCTCGAACTTCGAGCAAATGGTACCCCAAAGCGTCAGATGTGGTGTGGAAAACCGGGAGGTGCCTCTGAAGCTGGAGCTGGGGCATGTGGGGGGGTGGCGGCCAGCTGGCCAGGCGGAGGGGCACGAGCTTCGCTTTCTCGTGGGGCCTCCTTGGGTGATGATGGGGGGATGGTTGGGGGATAACGGGGATGCGGGTGATGGCCTTAGGGACGTTCCTTGGCCTGGGACAGGCTTCAAGGTCATGGGCATGGACATGAGCACAAACTTACCCTGATGGTGTGTCCCATCCGGGTGGGTGGGGCCGAGAAGGAAAGAGCCGAGGCCGGAGACCCCAGGGCCTCCCAGCCTTCGCGGAGGTGGGGCTGCGCAGGCGCCTCGGGGTGGAGTGGTAGGGGTGCAGGGAGACCGGCACTTCGGGGAGGAAACTCCTGGGCGCTATCCGGTCCCGGCCGCAGGGCCAGAGCAGAGCCGGAGGGGCCTGGTGAACAGCGGCCTGGGGCAGTGAGGACCAGCAGGGTGGAGGTCCCACGGCCTGGCCTGCACGGGGGCCGAACGCCCTCCCATGTCGCACCCAGCCCTTCCAAGCAGCAGGCCGGGCCTCCGAAGGGACAGCAAGACAGGAACAGAGGTGCCTTTAGCACCTGTAGTGCCCACGTTTCAGCAGGCATGGCTGCGTGCTGTAGCCGAGGCCCTGGGGGCTGCGGGTAGGTCAGCAGCTCCCGGCAAGGAGCCAGCCAGGCTGGGGTGTCGGGACGGCATGGGGGCGGGGTCTGCCTCCCAGTGAATGCCACTCGGGGGATGTCTGCTCAAAGACGGGTCATCATTCAACAGGTAGTCTACCCTGTCCCTTTGAATTTGCTTGTCTTCATACTCAAGGTGAATTTGTTGCAGACAACAGAGCTGGCTGGGTCTCAACTGTTGTTTTGATGATCTGTGGGTCTCCACCCCTCGGGGGTGCTTAGGTCACGTACAGGAGTGGGATCTAGACGTGGCTGAGCTTAAACGTCACCTTGCTGTTCCTCTGTGCGTCCCTTTAGATCTTTGTGCCTTCCTTCCTCTTTTTCACCCTCATTTTGGATTAAATAACTATTTTTTAACAACCCATTTTATCTTTTTAAAAAAAATTTCATTTTTTTGGCCACGTCAGGTCTTAGTTGCGGCACGTGGGCTTCTCTCCAGTTGTGGCATGTGGGTTTTCTCTCTCCGGTTGTGGCACTCGGGCTCCAGGGCGCGTGGGCCCTGTAGGTTGCAGCACGTGGGCTCTCTTGTTGAGGCGCGCGAGCGCCGGAGTTGTGGCGCGCAGGCTTAGTTCCTCCTCAGCATGTGGGATCTTAGTTCCCTGACCAGGGATCGAACCCACGTCCCCTGTACTGGAAGGCGGATTCTTCACCCCTGGACGACCAGGGAAGTCCCCCATTTTCTCTCTTTTACTGGCTTATTTCGACTTTACCAACTCTCTCACTGATGTTCCTTTTCTGTTCCAGGATCCAACCCAGGATCCTATGTGGAATTTAGAACAAATCTCTCCCGAAGGAACGACTGTAGCCACGGCCTGTCGGATGTCAGTCCATAACTCACTCAGCAGCCTGCCTTGGAGTGAAATTCAGCCCTTCACACGCACGGTCCTCAGAACACACACCTCCACTTGCCGTGTCCGTGCTGTGGACACTTTTGTTTCCACATGTTCAAACTCCCCAACACACATTATTAGTTTTGCCTTCAACAATTGTCTTTTTAACATTTTAAATATTCTTACTTGGTAAAATATATGTAAAACTTACCGCTTTAACCATTTTTAAGTGGCCAGTTCAGTGGCATTAAATGCATTCACGTGGCTGTGGCACCAGTGCCACCACCGTCTCCAGAACTTTTCATCTTCACAAACTGAAACTCTGCTCCCGTTCAACACTCACTGCCCCTCCCCCGGCCCCACCCTTCCCGTCTGTCTCCGTGAACCCCACGGCTCTAAGGACCTCACAGGAGTGGAATCACACAGGACCTTCCTTTGTGACTGGCTACTTCACCCGGCCTGACGTCCTCCAGGTCCATCCGTGCTGCAGTCTGCGTCAGGACCTCCTTCCTTTTTAAGGCCAAATCATATTCCATCGTATGGATGGACCATGACCTGCTTATCCATTCATCCCTTCGTGGACACGTGGTTTGTTTCCACATTTTTACTCTTGTGGACGCTACTGCGATGAACACAGGCGTACAGACATCTGCTCGAATCCCTGCTGGGTATTTGCCATTCTGCTCCACAGAGGCCGCGTCCCCTTGCATCCCCACAGCAGCGCACAGGGCTCCCGGGTCCGCACGGCCCCGCCGGCCCTTGTTCTCTGTTGGACAGCAGCCCCCTGCCGGGGGTGAGGCAGCATCTCTTGTTACTGAGCTGTGTTTCCCTAATGCTGAGCGACGCTGAGCATCTCTTCACGTGCTCGCTGGGGTCGTGGTCTGCAGGTGGGCACTGGGACGGAGGCCCAGGGCCTCTACAGGAAGCAGGTGAGGGGAGGTGACCCCACGATGAGGGCTCGTGCTGCACTCACGCGGCCGAGCTGGGGAGGCCTCTGAATGTTCTCAGCTCAGGGAGACCCATGGGGTCACTTGCAGCCGCCCCCAAGACCTCACGCCTCCCTGTGGCCCGCCCCCGCTCCTGCTTCAGGGGTCCTAGGCTGTGCACTTGGGGGCAAACCCCACCCTGGCCCAGCCCCCTCCAAGAGTCAGTCACTTGACCCTCCAACAGTGGGTGCCCCCGCTGCCCACCCCAAAGAACCTCTCTTCCCCTCCAGGGTTTCTTGGAGGGGCTGGGACTGACCACCCACGGACTCACCTTGAGGGCCTGGGCCCATGGCGCTGCAAGGACCCCGCGCGTGGGAACCGGGCCCGAGACCCAGGTGAGGAGGCCCCGTGCAGGGCTGTGCCCCTCCCTTCCCCCTCTCGTCCACTGCCCTCCCTCGGGCCACACGGGCCGCACCACCCAGACGGAACTGGCAGGCAGGTCACCCGGGGCCCAGCCACCCAGACAGCGGCGCATGACAGTGGCATTTCAGGGACAGCCTGGGACGCGGCCCCACCCCCGAGGGGCACTGGAGCCCCACCTGGGCTCACACGCTCTGGACTTCAGTGTCCCCACCTGTCAACGGGGCGATTGGCGGCACCTGGCATGAAGCTCAGGGCACTGCCAGGTGGGAGCCGGGCAGACTACGGGCCCCAGGGGCGCTGACGGTGGGAGCCGGGCAGACCACGGGCCCCAGGGGCGCTGACGAGTGAGTCCTCTTGTCCAAATATAAAGGGTTTATTCTCTTCTGTGGTCAGGAGAACAAAATACAAAATAGAAAGGCTGTCCCTTCCCGCCCCTCCCCCCAGTCCCTCAGCGTGGACGGCGGTGAGGTCGTCCAGGCAGGGCTGCCGTCCTCTCCTGGCCTCAGGCCTCGAACATGGCGCAGCTGGCGCACAGCACTTTCTCGTGGAGGTCACTGCAGCTGCGACACCGCGAGGTTGGGGGAGAGGAGCTGGCATTAGGGCTGAGTTCCACGGGAGCTGCCGACCCCACCTGGTCCCTCGACTTTATCTGGAGGCGGGGCTGTTGGCCCAGACAGAACCAGTTAAGAAGAGGCCCCACTGCCGCAGGGGGCCGGGCCCACAGGGCCGGGTCCTTGGAGAAGGACACCCGCAGAGGGGGGCGGTTCGAGGGCCTGGGGAGAGGCCGGAGCACGGAACCCGCAGAGTGCGGGACTCCAGGAGCAGCCCCCCCCGACAGGCATCTGCCTCGAGCACGAGGGGAAACGTCTGGGGTGCTTGCCGGAGCCGCCCTCACGGACTGACAGCTAAGGAGCCCCCGGGGCTCAGCCCCGGTCTCACGGTGGCCAGGTGTGCAGCAGGGGTGACTGGCCCCGGATGGCTCACAGGGGCAGCAGCTCAGGTAGGGTAGGGACATGGCAACTCAGCGAATGGCAGGGGACACGCTTCGGGAGACATGCTGAAAGGAGACGGCAGCACGCCTGAGGTGCAGCGGCAAAGGGTCCACGTCCAGGGCTAGGAGCTTGGCTCCAGCTCCTGGTGGCGATGCCCCACCCGCGGCCGTGCCTGACCCTGGGGACGAGGCAGCCACCAGGTGCGGGCAGGATGCCCGCTTCCAGGGTGGCGCTGAAGCTCGGAGGCCTGAGGCGTGGCCTCCAGAGGGGACCCCGAACATGTCGTCTGTTTCTCACCCGGGTCAGAGAGCCCCGCCCGCCGGGGCCCGAGAAACAGGCAGGTGCGTGGCGGGCTCTGCGGGTGCCTGGGGGCCAGGCAGCAGAGAGCAGGGGCGGGGGAGGCTGCCACGGGAGTCCCTGAGGATGCGGACGGCCCCGGGGAGGGAAGCAGCTGCCAGTAGGTGGGGCGCCCACCTGGCCCCTCAGCTGGCCCTTGTGCTGGGCTCAGCTCCCCCTCCAGGGAAAAGCCACTGGCGAGGCCCTGCCCGTCTCAGCTTACATATAAACAGGAAGAAAAGAAAACTGAGTTGGCAAAGTCAATAGAAAGAGTATTCCACACCCATGACTCGCCCAGCACCTGACCCCTGAACCGGCCAGCACGGGAGGCCCACGCCTGGCCTCCGTCCTTCTGTCCAGCGCGTCCCAACCGTGGAGCAACCCACCTCTCGGGAGGCGTGTTTTTAACTTTCCACAGTTGGGGTTGGTTTTTTTTTTTTTTTTTTTTTTTTGGCGGTGGGGGGTGAGTTGGTTTTAAAGGCCATTGGGACTAAACTGGTTTGAGATCTGCAGAACTTTTCTTACGGGGCACTGCCCATCCCCACCCGTCAGCCGGGAGTGGCCGCTGGGACGAGGACAGCGCCCGAAACCTCCTGGGCAGGGATGGGGCCCACCGGCTGTGGCGGATGCGCTCACCCAAGCCACAGACAAAACACTTACTTCCTGCCCTCACCTGTCAGGTGTCCTCCGCTAATGAGCGCGCGACACAGGAAGGCCATGTGAGGCTTCCTGATGCCAGGGCTCAAAGGACTAGAGCACAAATGGTCTGGGACAGACCACAGACAGCGCAGAGCTGACCTACAAGGTCTGGACTTCCTCCAGAAAGGATCTCAAGGTCTTGGAAAAACTCAAGCTGAGCAAAGCATTTACTGGCATCACATCGTCCCACTGGGCAATGTGGGATGGGCCTGCCGCCCCCACTCCCCGACAGGGCCCGCACTCACTCCACGAGGGCACACAGGGCGCAGGCCACTGCCCCACAGCCGCAGCAGGTGCGCACGCAGCGCCCGCACAGGGCCCGCTCGCACTGGCCGCACGCCGCCTTCCCGTCCACAGCCCGCACGCACGACGAGCAGGCTCCCGATGCCGCCATGGCTGGGTCTGTGGGGAAGAAACACCCATCAGCCCAAAGGGGACCTGGAGCGCTGGGGCTGGGGGCCACCCTCCTTCCTGCGCCTGACTGACCACTAGGTCCTAAGACGACAACCTGTGCATAAGCACAGCACCCAGACCCGTTCACCAGGGAGAGATCCCAGCTGGCTTCCGTGACTCCCACCTACAATTCCCACCACCCAAATGTCGGTACCTAAGGGTCAGCCCTTCTCCTGACCGCCTGCATCAGAAGTCCCTAGGCCTTCGTCCCTTGTGTGTCTCCCAGCTGCGTCTCAAAGCGTGGTCCCTGCATCACGGGTTAACACAGGGGTCCCTTTGCCCCACCCAGACCCGGGGGCGGGAGAGTTTTTAACCAGCGACACAGGTGACAGTCTGAGACGCACACCACACTGCACAGGGACCCGAACAGGCTTTTCCCACCCAGCCAGGTGGGACTCCGTGGGAGAGCTTCAGGTGGAAAGCAGGCAGGACACCCAGAAGGGTCACCCAGAGGGGTCTCTGTTCCTTTCTGATCCAACAGTTAGAAGCTGTTTGCAGCTACCAGACATGGATGTTGGTGACAGCAGAGCCTCCTAATGTCAGGAGCCTGCAGGCCCTCGCCCTGTTCGTATTGTCAGACTCGGGCCCAGCCCCCTCCAGCCCAGGTAGGAAAAGCCCCTGCCACACCCCATCCTTAGCACACAGCTGGGAAGCGCCTGCCGTGGGCCTCACTCACCAGCTTCGGAGGCCTGGGCTCGACTCCTGGTCAGTCGGCCGTCGGGCCCGATCAGCATCTGCCCACGTGCGGCCCGAGGGGCTTCTGTGGGGCCAGGCTTCGGGGACTCCGGGGTATGGACGATGGCGCAGGCTTCCTCCCACGCGGGGTCCATGCAGGCCTGGGCCCCGCGGAAGAGGAGCTGCGTGGTCTTTTCTGCGGAGGCAACCATTTCCCCGCTTATATCGCTGCAGCACGGAAGCACCTGCATGGCCACCTTGTCCCTCGAGCTGCGCGTGGCCGGGCCTCTGGTTACCCAGCCACCCCAGAGCACGCTGCTCCCTGGCGAGCTGGGTCCCACCCTGACCTCCTGCCTGGGCTCAGCGGCCACCTCCTCCAGGAAGGTTCCGGATGCTGCAGCCCCACCTGGGCTCCCTGTGCTATCACTCTGCTCATTTTCCACACGGGTGGCCTCACCTCCTTGCCGTTCATCTCCTTCCCAGCACCCACAAGCCGGCTTCATCCAGCAGACGAAGCTCTGCGCTGTGGAGTGCTAACTAACGCACAGCCGAGAGACTCAGGGCTGAGCCCACACCCCAGCCAGCACGCACCCCTTCACTGACCACGGAGCTGCTGGCAGAAGGCGTGGCAGCAACCAGCTCGGAACAAGGTGCCCCAAACTTTCCAGACCTCTGTGCCCTGGACACCCCCCCGACCCCAGAGCTGAGGTGGTTTCTCAGCAACCAGAGCAGTGGCTTTCCATCAGGGCACTGGGGGCTTTCACAAGGTCAAATGCCAGGCGCCAGCCCCAGAAATGCTTTGTTTGTGGTGTTCTGCCCTGTCCCAACAGAGCCAGGGTGGAGACCTTAGAAGCTGTTGGTGCTAAGTGAAACCGACAGAAACACACAGTTGGGTAACTCAAATGGAGTGGCTGATGACAGCCCCGTCACACCCAGTTCCTCTTCCTCCAATCCCCCCCATCCCCACTTATAATAGGGTGGGACTGCAGGGAGGTCATGTGGTGAGGCTAAGACTTGTCTTCAAGGGCCTGTGGTCTGTTCAAGATAAAGAGACCAGGGTTCAGGCTTGGAATTCATTAAACACGAGTTCACGCTGGCCTATGTCCTGCCCTTCTTAGATGTCCAGGGAGCCTTGCACTCCCTCTGTGACGGGGCCCTGCGAAGGACAAGCCCCTGCAAATGCTCCAGAACATCGTGGTCAAGAGCTAGACTGACTTAGCCCGCGTTTATTTTTAATTCTTCTCTCTGTCTGCAGTGTTTACATTTTTTGAAGGTCCTGAGAGGATAACACTTGCAGTCTGGCCATAGTACTCACAGCTTCACTCATTTTTATCACCTGCACGGCCTCGAAAGGCATTTGCATTTGCAACCCTGCATGTGCAAGAAAAGAAAGGGCACAGCAGCTGCTGATGGGGGCAGCGGGGTGGGGAGCAGCAGGACAAAGAGAAGCAGGGTCTCCCCAGGTTAGGCGTTTCCCCACATCCCTAGTACACGGCAGCACCACTCAGTCAGACACCCAGGTAACCATCTGACTGTTCCACACGCACAAACCTCGTGCCTCCAACCACTAGTTAAGGTAAATTCCACTCTGTAGTTACCCCAGGGTATTAAGCCCCCCAAAGCGATGATCAATAATATCAATGCGCCCAAAAACCTGCATGAAGCAGCCAGAGAAGGCTTCCTAGGTCAGTGTCCTTACATCTCTGGAACTGGACACTCCAGCCACAATGAACCGGACAGCACTCTCCGGCTTCCCGGCTTTTGCATAGGCTGTTCCCTCTGCCTGGAATTCCCTTCCTCTCCCTCTCTGCCTGCCTAATCCTGAAGGATTCGCCTTCGACCCTGTTCCTCCACGAGACCTCTAACAGCCTGCAGGTGGTCCTGCAGCGACCCATGCCTGCCCTGATGACCTCTGGAGAGTTCTTCTCTGGCTGGCCCCCCAGTAGACAGCAAGGCAGGGTCTCCCGCAGCCGCAGCGCCTGGCAAGGAAGGCGCGCTCCACAAACGCCTCTCGGGTCAGAACGGGTGCTTCTACCGGCTTATTCCACCGGGACATCCCACTCCCCGGCCTCTCGCTGGGCTGGTCAGACCAGGGCTGGCTCCTGCGCGAGTCCAGCATTCCCAAAGGACAGAGCCACGTCTCGGCCCCACGCGGAGGCCGCCTGTTTCGGGAAGGTGGAGGGCGGGGACAGGTCGTGGACGCGGGCGCATTCACAGCGCCCAAATTGCTGCTCCCAAACCCGGCCGGGCGACTGGCCCCGGCCCCCGGCTCCAGGGGGCGCGGCCTGCGGAAACCGCCTGCCCGACCCCGCTACCCCTCACTCACCGAAGATCTCCCGCGTGAGGCGCTCGGCGCACACGCCGCGACTCAGCTCCCTCCGGCCCACACGCACCTTGAGCTGCAGCGGGGCCGCGTCCGCGAAGGGGCAGCCCCGCTTGGGCATAGCCGCGGCCCGCAGCGGCGCAGCTCCGCGGCCGCGCCTCGCCTGCCCGTGACGTCACAGCCGTGCGCCAACCCCTGCGCGGGGCGGGGGCGGGGCTAGTGCGCGGCGCGACGCGGGATAGGCCCGGGGAGGGGGCGGGGCTCGTGCGCCGGGAGGCGGGACTCGGAGACGCGGGAAAGTCCGGGAAAGGGCGAGGGTCGGAGTGGGCGCCCCGGGGGCGTGGAAGCGGGAAGGCGGTGTGGTGCGCACGCGCCGCAGGATGGGCTGGGGGCGACATCGGGGGCGGGACTCGTGTGAGGGGTGGCTCGTGATAGGTCGGAGGCGACATGTGGGAGGGACTCGTACGAGGATGCGGAAGGGAAGGGCGTCTCAGCTGTTTTATTTTTTTTTCTTTTTGCGGTACGCGGGCCTCTCACTGTTGTGGCCTCTCCCGTTGCGGAGCACAGGCTCCGGACGCGCAGGCTCAGCGGCCATGGCCCACGGGCCCAGCCGCTCCGCGGCATGTGGGATCTTCCCGGACCGGGGCACGAACCCGTGTCCCCTGCATCGGCAGGCGGACTCCCAACCACTGCGCCACCAGGGAAGCCCTCGGCTGTTTTAAATTTTGCTCCCCAAACAACTCTCGAAACTGGTTATACTTCTCCGTTTAAATCACCAAAAGTTCGCGGCTGATTCACTTTTATGTAATTCTTAATTTGGAGGACTGCCCCGCCCTCACAAGTGGAGAGTGCCTCATGAACGCACTGGATACACGTCACGGGCCGGGTTTCGGGCCCTGCTGCGTCATGCGGGGCAGGCCTGACGTAATGTCGGGCTCTGACAGAGCCGTGCGGCTCCGGCCCCACCTCGGCCTCTGCCGGCCGCCTACCCGCCCGACCCTCGTCCTGTCCGCTGCCCCCGAGGTCGTCCAGCTCGTTCCTGTCGCCTGGATTTCCGCTGACAAGCCGAGGGCCTCCGTCTTACAGGCCACGCCCCACGCGACACACCCCTCACGTGACACCACCCCACGTGATGCACATCACAGCCCAGGACACCCGCAGGGATGGGGCCCGCCAGGCATGGAGGGTCTAGGGAGACCAGGCCGAAAGTGGGGCTTCGGCCAGCGTTTTTCCTGTTGCGTGACCGCATGATCTGGTACTATACCCGTTAGCGGTCTGCGGTCACTGTGACAAAAAGACGCTTGACTGGTTTTAGCCCAGAAATAGATGAAATTCCCAGTAGTATTGTTTTTAATCTTACAGGCCTTGGGAATTTTAAAAGACTTCTTTGCGTTCAGATTTGAAACTGCCTTAGGATCGTTTAAGACACAGTAGATAGATGCAAAACATTGTGATTAAAAGAGAATCTTGTTAGCTCTTCTATTTCAACCTAATTTTAATTTAAGAAATATTTGTTGAAGGCCCAGTCAGTGCTGGATTAGTTTTCTAGAGGTGCCGTAACAAAGCACTCAGACTGAGGGCTTAAACAATAGACATTTATTCTCTTACAGTTCTGGAAGTTGGAAGTCCAAGATCAAGGTGTGTGCAGAGCTGGTTTCTCCTTGGCCTGCAGACAGCCGTCTTCTCCCTGTGCTCACGTGGTGGTCCCTCTGTGTCCTCATCTCCTCTTCTGATAAGGACGCCAGTCAGACTGGATTAAGGCCAACCCATATGACCTCTTTAAAACTTAATTACCTCCTGGTTCCTCAAAAAGTTGAAAATAGAACTGCAATTGATCCAGCAATGCCGCTTCTGTGTATACAAAGGAATTGAAATCATTCTCTTGAAGCGCTATCTGCACCATGTTCCCTGCAGCATTTTTACAATAGCCAAGACATGGAAACAACCTAAGTGTTCATCAATGGATGAGTGGATAAAGAAGATGTGATATTTGGAATATACATATAATGAAATATTATTCAGCCATAAAAAAGAAGGCCATTCTGCCAGTTGCAATAATGTGAATGAATCTGGAGGACATTTTGCTAACTGAAATAAGTCAGAGAAAGAGAAATACAGTACTGTATGATATCACTTATATGTGGAATCCAAAATTATCAAACTTGGGACTTCCCTGGTGGTCCAGTGCATAAGACTCTGTGCTCCCAATGCAGCGGGCCCGGGTTTAATCCCTTGTCGGGGAACTAGATCCCGCGTGCATGCTGCAACTAAGAAGTCCGCATGTGGCAACGAAGATCTCGCACGCCACAACTAAGACCCAGCGCAGCCTAAGTAAGTAAGTAAGTAAATAAATAAATAAATACTAACAAAAAAGAAAAATCATCAAACTCATAGGAAGAGAGTAGAATGGTGGTTGCCAGGGGCTGGGCTTGGGGGAAATGGGGAGCTGTTGGTCAAAGGGTACAAACTTCCAGTTATATGGTAGGTAAGTTCCAGGGATCTAATGTACAGCTCAGTGACTATAGTTAGCAAGTATTGTGTATGTGCAGGTTGCTAAGAGTAGATCTTAACTGTTCTCACCATAACAACAACAATGACAACAAAATGGTGATTATATGAGGTGAAGGATGTATTATCTAACCTTATTATGGCTTGCAATATGTATGTGTATGAAATCATCACACTGTACACCTTAATGTTGTAAAAATTAAGAAAGAGAAACCTCATTTAAAATGGAGTCAGTGGGAATTCCCTGGCGGTCCAGTAGTTAGGGCTTCGCACTTTCACTGCAGAGGGTTTGGGTTCAGTCCCTGGTTGGGGAACTAAGATCCTGCAAGCCGCATGGTGTGGCCAAAAAAAAAAAGAGTCAGGAGGCCAGAAGAGGGAGCAAGCATGCCCTACTGAACTACATTAATTGCAGACCCGATAGAAAAAGAGTACCTTGCATCTACAAAGAAGGTTACTACTTTACTACCCAGCAGGAGGAAGAATTTCTCCTTGCCCGACAACAGCCCAGCCAATAAGAGTCTGTCACAACTCAGCCAATGAAAGACCACTTACATGTCCAACTCCCAGTTTCCACCAATGGGTTCTTTGCTCAGACTAGCCCCTTCCATCTCCTCCTTCTCAAGAGTTTTCCCTCCTTTGTTCTCCAGACTTGCCTGTGGTTAGCCATAGATTACACGTCCCAAATTGCAATTTTTTGCCGTTCCCAAATAAACCCATTTTGATGGTCTCTTTTATTGTTTTAGTCAACAGTGTACAATTAAGGTGTACATTATATGTCAATTATATGTTCTATATCAATTATATCTAAATATATGTCAGTTATACCTCAATAAAGCTTCGGAAAAAATGACCTCTTCAAAGTCCCTACCTCCAAATACAGTCCCATTCAGAGGTACTGGGAGTTGAGGCATCAACATGTGAAGTTTAGGGGAACACAATTCAGCCCTTAATAGATACCGTGCTCTGTGCTAAGGCCCTTAGGGGTGGTGTGGAGCAGAGCCAGCAGGGTCCCTGCCCTCTGGTGGGACAAATGTCACAAAAGGGGAAGGACGGGAGCTGTGGAAGCACAGTAAGGAGAACTGCCTTGCCCGGGGCGGGGCGATATCCCAGGAAAACCGAACTCATGCAAAGCATTTGCGGAATGGCATAATTTGACCTTAGAAAGTTGGACATTCTGGAAGTGAATATGTGTCAGATGAGGAAGGAACACGCTTTCTGTTTTCCCACGAGAAGTGCAGCAAACTTCCCCTCCAACAAATGCAGAGTGGGTAAGGCTGGCAGGAAACGTATTCATTAATGTGTTTCATCAAAGTTGCCTCGGGGTCCTAAAATTGTAATGATCATCTCAGTTATGTAAGATGGTTGTATGGTTACTTTGAGTAACTTTTAGATTGGGGTATAATTTACTTACAGTGTGGTTGTGTGTATTTACACCCAGTGGAATGCCCAGATGGCAAATGTATACAATTCTGCCAGTTACGATGACCCCGTCGCCCCTCCCCCGCCCCGGGCAGAAGTGACCATTGCTCTGTTTTCATCCCTACAGGGACGCTGCCGTCCTAGAACCTCACAGGCTCGGTCTTCTTCTGCACGTGCACCTTTGTGTCTGCTTTTTCCGTCAGTTCGCTCCGAGACCGGCCACCGTCCTGCACTCCTCAGTGGTCCATTCCTTTTGCTGCTGAGTGTATTCCGTGTGTGGATGGACCACAGTTTGTTCACCTGTTGACTGACACCTGGGCTGTGCCAGGTTTTGGCTCTGATGAGGGCAGCCGCTCTGAACGTTCTCGTCTAAGGCTTTTTCTGTACATTCGCGGTCATTTGTTGTGGGTCAGTGCCTAGGAGTGGAATGGCTATCTGATGGTAGGGTAGATGAATGTTAAACTTCTGAGCAAACCAGCAGCTTTCCAAAGTGTTTGGGAAAACACTTTTTTGTTTTTGTTTTTTTTACATTTTGGCCACGCCCCGCGGCATATGGGATCTTAGTTCCCCGACCAGGGATCGAACCCTTGCCGCCTGCAGTGGAAGCACAGAGTCTTAACCACTGGACCGCCAGGGAAGTCCCTGGAAAAACACGTTTTATCAAACAACGTTATCAAATCACTTACTTGTCTTTTATCCATGTATTGACCTGAGACCACTGTGAGCTCGTGTACAATGGGGCTGTGTTATTGGTGCAAAGAAGAGAGGGCACCTTATTATAATTACTCAGACCCTCACAACATCTGATACTGAGAAAAAGGGGGGCTGTGCGTCCTAACCCAACCCAGAGGACAGAGCCTCCCATCCCTGGGCCACACGGGAGTGAGGAAGCTGGTGCCGGGGAAGAATGATTTCCCCTCCAAACTGGTGTCTTTTCACCTTGTGTAACACCTGCAGACACTCAAAGACATCGCCTGGGGCTGCCTCCCCAAGAGTTTGTCCAGAGATCAAAGGAAAGAACAACGCGTATTCGGGTGGAGAATTCAGCAGCTACCACGTAACGCAGCGGCTTTGTGCAGCTCGTCATTTATGCGGGGTGAGCTTGCCGAGCCAGGGGTGCAGCTTTCCATGCGGAATGAAATGATTTCTTTGGAAAACGCCTGCTCTGGTTGATGGCCCGAAGCGCGCATCCCTCTGCCGTAGCAGGATGGGCATCTGGTCAGGAGAAGCACAGTATCC